AGGAATTCTTGAAAAATGGTTAGTTCTATAAACATATGGGCAAAGCTGAACTTTCCATGGAAGAGAAAAAAAGTTTTTCAGGTATTTAAAACATCCTCCATTTTTCTGTATTTATTTCATTAATTTTTCTTCTTTTATGGAAAGGAGGAAATCACCGGGCTCACCTGTATCAAACCCCACACTTGGCACTAAGTCCACGGTTCCGTGAAAGGCTCCGGCCCACGCTGAGGTAGCAGTGGTGACTGTAGTCGGATCTGTTTTTGTGATGTCACACGGGGGAGCGGGAATCCTGGCCGCACGCACAGACGGCATCAGCAGGGGCCCATAGGATGGATCCAGGGCAGAGCCAGTAGAAGGGTGGTGGTGATGGTGGTGGTGGTGGTGGTGGTGGCGGTGGTGCATGTGGGGGTGGTGATGCCGCATGTACATGTCATGCATGTGGCTGTAGGACGGGCTCACCTGAGATGCCAAAGGGTAGTGCCACGACTCGGACACGGGAGGGGGAGGGGCGGGGCCAGTCTGATGCAGCCCATGTCCTGACCAGGGGCTGGGGTCAGCGGCAGTAAAGGTGCCAGGGGGTGCAGTGACCTGGAAGTCAGGATGAACTCCCCCCAAACAGGGTGCAGATGGGGGCTGGTAAGAGCTGGTCCAAAAGGAAGTCGGGAAACTACTCCGCTGGCTTGAGAGAGCTGAGCTGTCTGAGAAGACAGAAAAATACATTATTTACATAAGATTCAGTTCTGGGATAGACTTGCCTCTACTTGTCCAATATTTTACAAGCAGGCTAATAAGGATACACTCTTTTTGTCTCCACACAGAGGTGAATAGATACCAGGTAAGCCTCTGAGTTGCCATGCCAGGTCAGTACTCAGGGGTCCAGGTGCTGAACGAGTCCCCTGCTTTGTTTGCTTAGCTTAGGCTGTCACAGTCTAGGCTGAGGTCGGCAAGTCTGGGACTGGAAAGCTTCGTTTCCTCCTGTGTGTCTTGCTGCCATCAAGTCTGAGCAGAGGTCACAGGTATATAAGTCTCAGGTAAGAAAAGCTTATGCCATAGACGTGATTCAGGTAGGTTGGAAACGATGATGTTTACCAATTTCTTTTAAAGGAAAATACAATTTTCACCCAAACTAACCATTTTAACGCTGAAAGTAACAGATGGAAGTAAGATCACAATGATGCTTGCCAACACCCATTTTCCACCAAGAAGAGTGTGTTCCAAGCTTGTTTTTTCTGTACAGGTCTGGGAGTTTCTAAACTGAAAATAATAATAGTTCACATTTAATGTCAGTGACCAAATGCCCAATACTAGGCCAGGAGCTTTGCATGGATTTGATCTCACTGGATCCTCACTCTAACCCTATGAGGTAGTTACTGTTATTATCCCCATTTTAGAGATGTGGAAATTGAGGCAGGGAAGAAGCTCAAGAGTCACAGCTGGCAAGTGGGAGACTGGGCTTTGAAGACAGGTAGCCTGCCTGGATGGCTGGCTCTCATCATACCTGTGCCACAGGACAGCACATTTGTAACTATAACCTGAACATCTAGAATTTGGTGAAGATTCTGTGGAAATCATGAGTGGAGGAGACTCAACTGGGGTAACGGATTTGAGGAGATGTTTAGAGAAGGGGAAATGATATCAGAGAATAGCACTTGGAGATAAATAAGCAAGAGGGAGAACCATCCTCGACTTCGCTTCAATTCAATTTCTCCACTCAATGGTCTTGACATGTTTATATAGATGACCTATTATGTGTGAAACAGGGGGCGACTAGGGATGACCGGACAGATATCACCTATAATCACAATCTGGCAGGGGACAGATAAGTAAATAGACTTGAGCAATGTAATTCAGTTTGTGCTCTCATAAGAGGAAATACAGGAAGAGGGCACTAAAGCTGCCTAAGAAAGTAATAGCTAAATAGAAAGGGTCGGGAGGGCTAGCCTTGTGAAGAGGTAGGGAAGAGTGTTTTACGCCAGGGGTCTCCAACCCCCAGGCCACGGACCAGTAGTGGTCCATGGCCTGTTTGGAACCAGGCCACACAGCAGGAGGTAAGCAGCGGGAGAGCGAACGAAGCTTTCTCTGTATTTACAGCTGCTGCCTATCATTCGCATTACCACCTGAGCTCCGCCCCCTGTCAGCATTATGGTGAGTTGTATAATTATTTCATTATATTACAATGTAATAATAATAGAAATAAAGGGCACAATAAATGTAATGCACTTGAATCATCCCGAAACCCTCCCCGCTACCCACCTCCTCTGTAGAAAAATTGTCTTCCACGAAACAGGTCCCAGGTGCCATAAAGGTTGGGGACTGCTGTTTTAGGCTAATGAAAAAGTATGTGAAAAAAAGGCCAAAAATTACACTTACACACACAAATAGCATTTGAGGGACAAAAAAAGAGTTCAGTGGGCAGATGATGGCAAACAGACTATGGTCTAAGAAGGACCCACATGGGTATGTTTTTATGAGCCATGCACTAAGTGTGGGCGCTGTCCTGAGGAGATCCAGTGAGCTTAAAAGGGTTTTAATCTAGGGAGTGTTATAGTCAGAGCTGTGTTTAGAAAGCTCGATACCTCCAGTGAGAGCCAGGTGCCTCCAGTGCAGCGTAACTAAGCAAGCACGGACCTGGGAGTCTGGGGTGCTCAGCCAGAAAGCTGACACCCAGCAATTACCCTGTCTCATTGTAGGACCCCAAATGATCTGTTGGCCTCTCTATGGCTCAGTGTCCTCCAATCAAATATGAGGCATTTGAGCTCATTTAATTCCAAATATCATCTGGCCCCATACTTCTAACCATTCTGTGACATGTCCTATGGAGTATTTGTATCTATAGATAGCGATAAGGTTGCTTAGTACATTAGTCATGCAAGTACAGTAAAAGAGTATTTTTATACTGGGTACCACGTAAATGAACCTCGCTAGATCTTTCCATGGAATGAAAGATACCCTAAGAAGTACTGTGAAATAAAAGTATTCAGAGTCTGACATGTTCACGTTCTCACGTCATAAACTTCCAGGACATAGTTTTCTTGCCTCAGGGAAAGCTTATATAACTTGACTCAACCCCTACATGTGTAATTTGATGAATGTAATTACGATTATCACCGGGTTGTTCAAACGTTCCCTTTCTCTAGCTTCCCTAAAAGCTGTGGCACTAACACTGCGAGCTCTTCCTCTCTCTCCCCATCAGCCCTACAGCAGAGCTATCATCCACCCCATCCATAGACAGATGGCTATTCAGTGTCTCAGTTCCAGTTTCCTCCCACCCCCTGCTCAGGATCTCCATGGATCCCCAAACCCTTGAGGAAATCTAAGCGATGATGTTCTTCAAGAGGCAAAGGATGAAAGGACAAACTCTTCTTCAAACCTTCCAGCAGTCCTGGCAAACTTTTACTTGAATGGCTTAGTTTTGTCACAATCACAATCTATCCGAAAATAGCACTTAAAGTCACTTACTGGCATTGAGGCAAATATGTTCTATTTAAGAATGGTCTTCCTTTGACATATGAAACGTGGCTGCTAATGACAAGAAGGAAAATTGTGTAAGCTGTAGGAAGAAAATTCAATTTGCCTTAAATGATGGCCATTTGTAGACTATTTCTATCATACCCACAGTAGAAAGCTGTTAACGTTTAAAGTTTAAAACTCATACAAAGAGTTTATAGATGCTCCTTATATTATACAGTGCAGCTTTGCCACCACCAATCTGCTCCTTTGTTCTCACAGATCCAATCTTTGGTGGCAAACCCTTCATTCTGCTCATAATTTGTATCTCTTGCGGGGCCAGAATCTCATTATAAAAACAGCTGAACTCAACCCACAGGTGTGTGCCAGAGACAGTTCTCTTTATTAATATCCCCCATTAAAATGTCAAAAGTACAGAGAGTATATGTCATTTCCCTGGATGCTTTCCTTTTGTTTCTTTCCATTTGTATGTCCATGGACCTAATTTTATTTTACAGATGCTTACGCATTTTGGATATGCATGCAGAAATATGAATAATGAAAAAATTCCTTACCAAAAATATTATCCTACTTATGACGTATTGTATTGTGATTAGTGAACACATTAGCATTGAAAGTAGAAATCTATTCTAAAAAATGCACCCCATAGAGGCTGAACAAAGCTTTAAAATGCCCCAGGGAAAAATCAAATTAGAAGCAACTTAATATTTTCCCAGTCAGTATGTCTCCTGAGATTAACATAAAGTTTGCAGAGATCTATGCAGCTCTTTTCAAAAATAATGTTGCAGTCTACAAGTAAACGAAACTATACTGAACAGAAAATGTTTATGGACAAGTCTACATTTCAAAACCACTATCTGGTATCTTGATTGTTAAAAAAGAAATTCTTGATACAAAGAAACAGATGATATTCTTTGTTTCATGCCTGGGAATCAGTGTGCTTATTTCATATGTGTGTAAATTTTTTCATTACATGACTCTTTGCTTACAAGTATTTAATCACAGCCACATTTTTTGGATGAAAAAGCTTATGAAAAACTGCACATGCTATTTCCATGCAATATTACTTTTTAGCAATTCAGAACTATGCGATATTCACACTCTGTGGTGACTTTGGGCTCAATGATACTGGATATTTGGATGACGTTAACACTGAGTCTAACACGTACAAAAAGTCTAAATATACTTTGGTTCAGTTTGCGTTTCGGATTAAAAAATATTACACATGCATACACACCCTTATTTCTAAACAACAACAAAAAAAGAAAAAAAGAAATTGTCCCATACAACCCACCCAAAGCATACCCAGTAACCCCACTGGCATGGTTTTTAGCAGAAATATGTCTTAGAGACATAAAAGTCTTTAACATGGATCATCAGGTGGTTCTTTCAATTTCACAGTAGCTGGGATACTTTTTACATTAAACTTCAATGCCTCTGAAAAACAACCTAAGGGCAAACATTTTATGCAACAGAAAATTCAACATATAATTTTTAAAAATAAATATTTTGTTACCTAATTTTGAAAAAAAAAAGAAAACTATATTAAAAGGAAAAGTAGGACCATAAAATATTGTAGAACCTCTATCTTAAGTCATCTTAAAAATCTCCAGAAAATGTATTCTTACAATAAATACTGATTGAAAACATCCATGTTAAAAGATAACATTTACCTTTTTATTAAACTCAGTGAAAAAAACTGCTACTCCATTCTCAACCTAGAGGGCCCTCGCTCTAATTTTAATTCCCTTCCTCTTGTTCTGCTTCCCACAAAAATAACTCATTGGGTCAGAGGTGAAATGATACGTGTTCCAGTGTTTTCTGTCACTCAGGCATTAAGCATTACCATTATATCAAAAGACTGCCCTCCAGGTATTTTGTTCTAGAGTTGCTCAAAAATGGGCCTTGTGACTCTAAAGTGAGAGTTTCAAGGGGTGCTGTCAGCTGCCCTACTCCTTGGAGGCAGGACAATGAGACAAACCAGGCCTCAATTTCCTCCCACGTGTTTGTTGTAAGCTTCCCAGCAGTGATTACTTCCAGTGCCTCTTAGAGATGCCGCCCAACTCTCTCCGTCCCTGTCTCAGTCGGCCCAGGAGATAGGCCCTCTCTCCCCTTCCTCCTCTTTGCTAAGTTTAATGCTCATTTTGAGAGGGCTTTCTTATGAGAATGTTGCTCCAAGAAGACAGATGTAGATCAGTCATGCAGAAAACATTTACTTTTCAACTACAACAAGAAAAAGTATATCAAGTTTACCACTCAGCATAGTTTTTAAGCCAGTGACATATTTGTCTATGTCTTGACTTAACTACTCGCTTTCCCCACATACACACACACACACACACACACACACACACACACACACTTTCTGTAATAACACTTAAGCACTGAGGTCAGTGAATAGACATATTTGAAGCCGATGCTTCTATTGGATGGGATAAGGAGACAGATTCATTAGGTTTTCTTAATTGAGAAGCCCTACTCAATCCATGAGGAGATATAATGGGAGAAGAGGTAGTCGTTGTGATGTCATGTCAAATAAAGTACAAATATTTACTGTCAACTGCTTGCCTCAAAGCTGCAAAACGTTTAATGAGGACTTTCCTAACTCCATCAAGATACAGACGCAACATATGACCGCTGTTCCATCATTAGCTGACACTCTATCATTTGCCTAAAGATTTACTGTGGAAATACATTCTGCAACCAAACATAATTCAGTTTTAGATTCCTTTGAAGTACTGTAGCACTTATGTAGCACTGTAAAAACCTCATGCCATAAATTAGACCCTTTAATTTAATACAGCTGGTCAGCAGCTCCTCCTAAAGTATTATTGCCACGGCCATCAACATTGTCAATAGCCTTGAGTACTTAGTATGTCCAAAACACTGTGTTTTTGCCAGGAATACAAACTCCCAGAAAACAGTGTTTCTGACTAAAGATCCAAGGTTGGTTTTCTATGTGCCAAATGAATGGAAACTTACTTAAGGAAGAGAGAAAAGGCATCTGACCTTCAGTCAGTGCCTTGCATCAAGCCCTGTGCCAAATAATTCATATATATTATCAAAATATCTTTACAACAACCCTAGGAGATGGGTATTAATCAACACATATTATAGTTGAAGTTATTCTCAGAGAGACTTTGAGAATTACTCAAAGATAACATTGCAACCAGGCAGTAATAAGGTCAAAACTTGAACCCAAAACAAACATAATCCAACCAAAGACTGCATTATGCAAACCTGTGTTGCTTTGGCAATTAAAACAATATTTCCAGCAACTCTGTTAACTAGACATGGGAATCTCAATTTATTATACTTCTCTTTAACACATTCAATAGTTGCTAAATCCTTAATTACATTTTGTGGATTTCATATGAATCTTATCCAACTTATGTATACTTAACTAAAAACACTAATTCACAACTAGAAACAACTATGGCAAAGTTTTATTCACAAGTGGAAAGTAAATAATACATTTGAAATCATAGAACTTCACAGAAAAAAAGAGATTTCAACAACCACTTAATTCAACCCCCTTATTTTATAAATAAGAAAACTGTACCCAAAGATTGCATACAACTTATTACTAATAAATTCTCTATTAAGAACTTTTTTTGTTTTCTAATCCTGGGTACATAGTATGAACTTGGTTCATCTAATTTAATCACTTGATCATTCAATTCATTCCATATTTTTCACATAGAAATGCATTATCCTGAGTATTGGGGAAAACGATGTGAGTTAACTAGATAGGATGTATATAGTCTCAGTGGAAAAGGAAGAGATGGAAATTGACGAGCATGCTGTGTTTGCCTGGGCTACTCTGATAAACTAACATACAAAGCTCTAAAAATTCTGGTCTCTACTTACACCTCCTCTTTTCATTCCATTCACACTAGTATTTTGGCTTCTCGTTGAACACTGAAGTTCAATTCTTCCTCAGGGCCTTTGCACTGGCTGTTCGCTCTGCCTTAAATAATTTCCCCCTAGATATTTGTGATAAGAAGCGCTCTTATTTCCTTCAGGTCTGTGCTCAAATGTAAGTCTTAGAGAGACCATCTGTTTTCACTCTAAGTAAAATAATATCTTGCATCTCATTATATATATATTGCCTGTCTCTTTCACTAGAAAGCTCCATTGAGTGTAGAAGCTTAGACTCTCCTGTCTACTGCTATATTCCCACTACCTAGAACATAGTAGGACCTTAATAAATATTCGCTGCATAAGTCAATGAATGAAACGGGAGATAGATTTGAAGGCCAGATTTAAGATAATGCCAAGAAAATTCTAATAATACTTACTAAAACATTACCATTATCCACACTTTCTATACTGAAATTTGACAGCCTTCCAAAGATCCTCTCCATTCAGTCATGCAGATTATGGGAAAAACACTGATATGTAGAGTTTTTGCATTTACACAACACCTCACTTAAAACTATTATGGTTATGATACTTTAGGCAATCACTCTTACATCTCTCTATAATTTGGGGCTTTCGCTCCTATGTTCCAAGTTAAATGATCACTGGGTTGCATATGCTAGTATGCTAAAAGAATTAGGCATTGCATTTATTACTCTCCTGGGACTGATTGTCACGATAGGATTTATTATTGATATATCAAACTATTTATTAAAGCCAGCTAATTCACTGAAGTTTTCCTATTTTCACCCTCCACAAGCTATTAAAAGTATTCACAATGTGCTATCAAACAGGACATTGTTGGTTCTATTAGCCTCTTAGGGTTTCGAGGACTAAGTTCTCAGTTCTTGTGGGAAGTCCATAATTACTAATCAAATAAGCAGCATGCTTCCCAATTCACCTCTACCAAGGTCTAGGTCACTTGAATATGGATTCCACCTTCCTCTTTAAAGTCACTGTGTACGTCAATGTTGTTCATATTTATTATCAGAAAGGAGAAAAGAAGGAAGGGATGGTGAAAAGAGAGAAGGGGAGGGGAGGAGAGAAAAGGGAAGGAAAGGCAGGAAGACAAGAAAGAACCATTCTTCTGATGCTGAGAGGGGACCAACCACTCATCACCTCTCACCTGCCCCCGACCACAGGTGACCTATCACTGGTGGCCAGCCTCTCCTCACCATAGGATCACATGGGGCACTTATTACAGTGATTCCCAGAGCCTCCCTCTGGAGCCTCTGTCTGATTCGAAGGTCCAAATAAGGGGGCTGCAATCTGTGATTTTTAGCAGCACTAGATCAACAATTATCAAACTTGAGCCTGCACCTGAATCCCTGGGAGGGATGGTTAAAACACAAGGTACTCTACCCGTGAGTTTCTGATTCAGTAGGTCTGGGGCTCGGACAACGAATTTGCATTTCTAACAACTCCCATGTGATGCACATGTTCCTGGTCCTGGAAACCACACTTTGAGAACCATTTTACTAGATTCTTCTTAGAACCAGGTGAGTTCAGAAGAAACATTCATATGTCTTTAAAACTACCATTGGAATTATGGATTGTTTTTTCTCTAATGTTGTAATTATCTCAATTAAGTTGTCATCCAACCATTTTCTGTGAGTCAGAAGTCAGATTCAAACACACCTCTTTGTGATCTCTATATAGAGGGAAATAAAGAAGAGGAAGCCCAATCTAATGCTTTGCTTTACTGAGTTCAAAAAAAAAATAGCTTAAACCAGGGAGATACAGTCAATAATGTCTGGGTTGTACACTACAAAGAGTTAACATCACAACTAAGCAGGACAGAGAAAGCCATCAAGAGAACACAAAAGGCTTTCAAAGTATGTGTTCCTGGGTCAGACTCAGACCTCTGCTATGTCATCACGTAGCACCTCGTGGAATGAGCAAGAGCTAATTTTTAAACACTGATCCAGGCACGCCTATTATTTAGAGATCCAAATTGGGCCATCGGGGCTTAAGGAATGGTGCTTCGCAGCTCAATCCTGCCACTATGAACTCAGGCCAGTTGCATCACTACTTTCCACGAGGAATTTAAGGGGTGTGACTGCATCCTTTCCAACCCTGCATTCCACATGTGACAAAACTGATCCAGCTGTTTGTCTGAAAGAAATTCCTTGCTGTCCTTAAAAATTAAAAAGCGAGTGGATATCCGTCCTCCAGGGGCAAGTCTCCAGCTGGAACCTGGCACAGATGGTTGCGAAACAGAGCCAGTGCCCTGGAGAGCATCTGCTTTGGAATTCTTACCTCGCCATAAGGGGGTTAGCCCCATCTTGCTTTTTGAAATGGCAGATTCTGGATGAAGGGTGCTGGCTTGGCCCAAAGCTCTTGAGAAGTGTTCATCCACTACTGACCCAATGTCTCCCTGGAAATAAGTGAAAAGGACACAGCGAGAGTTAAGGTACTCCATCTCGGCAGGCTGGTCTTTCTCCTCCTCCTCCTCCTCCTCCTCCTCCTCCTCCTCCTCCTCTTGTTTGCTGGGAAGGGTGACTTCCAGAGAGTCCTGCATCTTGCTGTATACCGCTAACTTCTTCTGGGATGGAATAAACAAAACACAGTATCAAAGACAGTTTGTACAAAAAGCATTAACGAGTTAACTTTTCACTAAAAAAAAAAAAAAAAAAAAATCTAAACATTAACATATGTTCACAAACTGATTCTTCTTCATTTGCTTTACTCCACCTTCCCCCTCCCCAAACCAGCCTTCTGCTTCCCACCCTGAAAAAAAAGACTTTGCTATTTCAAATTTGGCAAAAAAAAAATGTCCATTATCCAATGGTATATTCTCAGACTGTGAAAGGCAGGCTTGTTTTTTTGCTTAATTTAGATATACCAAAAGGAGAATGACTTTAAAAAAAAAAAAGAAAAAGAAAGTGACAGAGCTCTCCCATTTTTGTTCCCTTTTCTATTTTAAAGATTTAATGTACAGCAACATTATAGTTCGGGACGGGGAGGAATGAAGGTGGTAGGCCTAACTGTCTGGGGGAGGGGTGGATAAGAAAAGAGCTTTTCATAAATGAAATATACTAAAATAAAAACAGGAATGTAGCATCTTATAAAAGGATTTGGCAGATGTGCTGAACTCATTTCTCAAAAATCAAACTAAAATGACAAAATAAGTCTGTGTGAAGATCCATTTTGCATGGAACATATTTTTCAGATGTTCCACTTACCACCATTATCATAAAAGGGAAAAAAAAGGTATTATGATGACTTGCTGAAAATAATACAAGATACTAGTAATGGCTAGGATGACTTTCAAATCAAAATGAAAAAGGTTTGGTAATTTTAAAATGTTTTCAAAACATAAAATCGTAGCTCTAGTAATAGTTTATATTATGACTGATACTCATATTTATTACCCCATGTAATCTTTACAATTCTATAATGTGGTTATTATTACTCTCCATATTTTAAATATGAAGAAGTGAGGCACAGAGAAGTGAAGTAACTTGCCAAAGGTCACAGAGCATATAAGTGATGGACCCAGAATGCATAATAAAAATACACAGATGTACATATGTGTGTACATGTATGTGTCAGAGGAGGGCAGGGGAGGGATATCTAGTGCGGAAAAAAAAAATCACCAAAATGTTATATTTTGTGTTCTTTTTCTGGGTGGTAAGCTTGTAGTTGGTTGTTATTTTCTTATTCCTATTTTTCAATATTTTCAAATATTTTTCATAGAGCACATATCATTTTTATAATCAACAACTTTAGTGCAAATTACACGTAAGAAAAGAATGCTACAAAACTATAAAACTCATTATCTTAATGACAAAATGAGCATCCTATCATCTGTATACCTACAAAACCTGACCCTTTGTCAGACCATTTTTCTTATTTCAGAAAAAACTGCATGTTGGAAAGTGAATGTCAGTAGAAAAAAATAAATCATTCTAGAATATTCAGTAAGCACATAGTTTGGCAAATGTTATCAAAACACATAACCAAGACTCAATGTTTCTAGTGGTAATTACTAGCCCCAGAATCTGTAGCCCCAAATTATAAATGCCTCATTCGAAAAACTGAACCCCAGCAATGAATATGTTGTTCTTGTGTGAGGTAGGGTCTGAAATGTTCAGGCACATTACAAGCTGCTGCTTATTATTTAGGACTGCTATATATACACACACACTATATGTATCTCCCTTTTTATTTGAAATCTGTGTCAGTATGGTTATCGCTTCTTGATGAATAGATGATTCATTCCCTGTGAGTGAATATGCCTTGCTGATGAATAGGTGATTGTAATGACTGAATGGTTATAAAATTCTTACAATCTGTTCTGCTTAGATTTGAACATGGTTATGTTTAACTTCAATAGTAAAAAACACCGTAGTAATATAGGTTATGTATAAAATGAAAAGATTGAACTAACTGACCGCTACAGTTACTTCCGGCTTTAAATTCCATTATAAAGTTACATGAATATTACTATTTATTAGTCAAATCACAGTACTGCTTCTCTGGGCACATGTGCATTTACCGAAGTTATACCATTTTAAGCAAATACACACACTCTGCTGAATATTCAGGCATATTAGAAAGAAGCACTGTTTTTATTTGGGAAAAAGATTAAAACTGATCTACAGAGTGGCTTCACTGCCTTAAGTGTTCAGTATTATCTATTAAACCGATTTCTTTTTTCTCATTAACGTCCAGTGCAGCATCAGTCTGTGAGAGTCAGGCTTTGCATCTACTTGTTTAATTTGTTTAATTTTAACGCTTATTCCTTAAATGAAAGAGCCTTGGCTATGTTAATTATCCAAAGAAAGACAATTTTTTTTTTATTTTATCCCAATTAGCAATTGATTCTTAGACAAAATAAAACTAAAGTTATATATATGTGAAAGATTTGAGAACTGCAAATCAAATGCAAATATAGCCTCCATTTGTATGCAAATGTAGCATAGTATTATGATCAATAATGGTATCAATAAAATTTCTTAATTTTTACATTGATGGCAGTTGAATTTAAACCATAGATTTTCAGTCAATTTAAGATTACACAATTTTCTAAATGCTATATAATTTTATGTTATTCTTTTTTAACCAGTTGCTGAGTAGTTGGATACAAATAAGTTATACATTTTTCACTATGAAATGGGGAAAATTTAAGCAAAATCTTCCATTGTATCAAAATACCTTTTATGAGTCTATTTTCTAAATGTCAATTCTGTCAATGGATGCATTGATTCCCTATAATCCTTATATTTCCTATATATGTAATATATATCTATATATACACATATGCATTTATATAAGTATATATTGAAATATTCATTTCAAACACCCGTGGTACTATAAAAATATCTAGATTGACTCCTCTATTTAAATACATTTTGGGAGGATGATTATAAAATATACTTTTTTTTCTCTCTCCCAGCTCTTTGAGGCAGGTTAAATAAATTTGCTGGAGACCATCAAAAACATAAAATAAAAAAGGATCCTATGATATAGCTACCAATGGGCAGGATATAAAGCATATTTATCACCCCCCTCTTGCATTTTGCATCAATTTTCACAAATTTTAGTGTACCCATTTAAATATTTACGTTTACAACACACAGGAGCATTTATGACCACACCATCAACATCACTGGTTAAAATAAGAATTCTAAAGCATCCAAACAGCCTGAGAGCCTTCTAAAATGGCAACACTGAATTTACATACATTTTTTAAACATCAAGTGTGAGCATGAAGAAAATGGGAACACACAATTTAAACAGCAATTGATCCATATGCTAACATTCACACTATCCTAACCTTCTTCCCCAATGGCTCTTAAGCCTCAACTGCCTTCTGTTATCTATGCTTTTGTGACTGTAAATCAACCCTTTGCTTTAAAAACAAAAACAAAAACAAAACTAAGTATGTTATTTATGTACACTGTTGCCATATTCTGCATTTACTTGGTGTTTGCTCCTTGGAATGAAACTTCCCTAGTGTTATCTTCATTCTTGAAAGTAATATATAAAATTTAAAACTTGAAAATAAATCTCAAATCATCAGAACCCAGATTTCCTGAATCAATGCTGAAAGGCAATGTGGTTCATATTTTTCTCAAAATGCACTATCACACCCTAAAAATAGCCCAATCTGTCAGAAGTATTCATATTTTTCTTACTAGACACTTACAAATTATTAACAAAAATAAGTCATCAGAAGGAATTTCAAAGACTACAATTTGGTTTATTGAATGCACCTTAACTGGCTCATCCTCCATTGCAGAGTAATGACAAATTTCCTTCAGGTAAAAGAACCCTTGAGTTAGATGAAACAGTGACCGAGTTAACAGGCACAGAGTTAAAATTAACTCAGAAAGACTTGAAAGTAGCAGTGTGAAGGAGTCCGCCTAGCCTAGGCAGTGCGAACCATGCCCAAACACCTCACAGCCTGCCATCAGGCACAACAGAAACAAACTCGCACAGGAATGTGCCGGGGAAAGGATTTGTCTGACAAGAGAAAGACTTTCATGTCAGGAGCCAAATACCACTAACTTCCCAAGGCTTAAGCCTACAAAATGCCAAATGATTACTGTGCATATGTGGAAACTTTTTTTCTAAGGAAACAAAAGTATTTTAATGAATCATTGGATATTTGGAAACAACTTTTTTTTTTTTCCTACTGGCTATCTTCTCTAAATGCAATGATTCTTTCATCCTGAGAGACATGGTTAGAGCCTGTAAGAAAAGACCACTAGCCCATAGTCAATGTTTCAAAACTATAAGGCCCATAAAGCAATGTGTTGCTCTTTGATCCTATTTTTCCGAATTTACTTGAATAACAGATTTTTTTTTTTTTTTCCGGTACGCAGGCCTCTCACTGTTGTGGCCTCTCCCATTGCGGAGCACAGGCTCCGGACGCGCAAGCTCAGCGGCCATGGCTCACGGGCCCCGCCGCTCCGCGGCCTGCGGGATCTTCCCGGACCGAGGCACAACCCGTGTCCCCTGCATCGGCAGGCGGACTCGCAACCACTGCGCCACCAGGGAAGCCCAAATAACAGATTTTTAAATCTATCCCAGAGAGACTTGAAGTTTTGGTCCTTGGCCTGTTTGGAGGAGGAGGAATCAGGTTGCGGGAAGGTGGGTCAGGATAAGGAAGATAGTTCACAGACCTTTGATATATTTTATTTCACTGTCACACATACACAAATATTTTGTCCAAATAATTATTCTCAATGTATATATGCAAAAACTGATTTACTTGGCCACATCATCTAACTAGTAAATGGCAAGGATGGGATTAGAACCTATTTCTGTCTGACAACAAAGCATCTGCCAAGAAAACAGACTAAAGAAAATGAGTCTGTATATAATATTTAGTTTAACTGTATAAACAAATAGAAGCCCACAGTCAGCGTGGCATCATATGCTAACTAAAGAAAGTCTAAAGTTATTTACAACACTTAAAAACTAAGGATGTAAACATATCAAAGATATGGCTATTAAATAATGCAGTGCTCTTCAAAATATATGTATATCTAGATGAACCTGCCCTTCTATATCTAGAAATCTGTTGTCTGC